AGGAGTAGTTTACATTCACCCAGAGGAAAAATTATTAATTGTTTACATATCCGGCGGGAATTGAACTGGGAGTTTATTCGAGGGAACACTTTTAGGGTCACTCGACCGAGGGGAGTTGTTAGATATTTATCTAGACTGGTCCTGGGGTTTTTTGATCTGCTCAGTGAAGGGATTATAATGAAATTATGACCTGGTTCTGACTGAGTTAAACTGGGCCAGTAACTCTAAAAAGAGTATCCCAGGGATTCAATATCCGTCAAGGAATAGTTTAATCTGCTTGCTACATCACGTAGAAAGCCTTTTGAAGCACCGTCTCATATTTCCGTGCACGTCAGTCTACGTAAGATCTGTTGAGATCACTCTTAGTCACGCCCCCTCATACACTGACAGGTTGAGCCCCCCTTTCCGCAAAGGAGGAGTCTAGGACCCTATAAATGAGTAATGACACGGGACATCTGGGCTCTTCCGGGTTTGTGATCGCATCACAGACCAGAGAGGCCAGCGCTGTAAACTGTAACCTTTTCCTGCCTTGATTTTAATACAAATGGTAAAACTGAATTCATTTTTCCTTGATTTATTGTTAGTGTGAGTTGCCACTTCTGAGGGAGATTCCAGCTGGGGCGAAGAGATGTGGGCTGGAGGCGGGTCCTGGGTCAGAGAGGGGGCCCCTAGGTAACCGGTGACCTGCAGCAGCCCCCCATTCTTAACAGCGTTTTCCTCCTGCAGGCTGGTCTGCAGAATCACTTCAGGGGTGGGGCTCCTACATGAAGCTGGCCATTCCCAGTACATTAATGAAGTCTTTTGAATGGTGAGTTTATGAGTTTCTTTGGTTTATATTTGCAGGTAATCCAATTTATTTAATCTGTATATGGGGGGTGGGGGGGGCATTGGAGAAAGTATTTTTAGCACTTCTTGTCTACTTTTCAGGAATGCTAAGTGAAGATGAGCTTGCAGCCCAGCACGCTGTGATGATGGTGACCATCACCTACATGGTACTGAGCTGTGACTGCATTACAGAGGTTTCACATTTGATTTGGTATCAAACTCTTTTTCATGCTGGTCATTTATATGTTATGTTCTGTCAAAAAGTTTTCAATAGTTCCATACTGACTGTGACATTAGTCCTAGAGCACAAGGTATGAAGAAAAGGCTAATAGCTAATAGGTTAATGGCTATCCAAATAAGGATGATATTTATGTTCTTCAAACTCATAAAATATTTTTTCTCAAAAATGGCATGGTTTGAAAGCATGCTGCATTATCTCATATTAAACAAACAATTTTGCATGACACTACTTGTTTAGATTTTATTTTTATTATTTTTTCAGTTTTCTCAACCAAACATAGCTCGTGTTAAGTAACAAATGTGCTGCACAGATTGGACCATTAATCGAATAAACCATGTCATGCATAGGAAGTTTAATATATGAGCTAATGTGCTCATCCTCTGGTATTCCTGTGATAGAAAATAGTTTTATAAGCCTGATCAACTATATAAAACAGGCCCTCATTTAGCCCCATTAGTCAGAGTCAGAGTTTATTTATTTGTCATTGGTACCACATGTGGTACATGTGCTGGAATGAAATTTTGTACACAGGGTCCCTGTTACATCCAACAATAAAATGTAAAAGAAAAACAGCAACAAGATCCAAGATATGAACTAAGAAACACATCAACTAAAAAATATACTAAGCACTGATAGCATAAAAACTAGACATTTAGCCAATTAGCCTGTCTGGACAAAGACTTTTGGCCATTTTTCCTTACTCCATGCTCTGTAATAATGCCACAACTGATATGGTACTATCTATTGATAAGTGTTACACAGGCCACTTAAAAAAATGACAAGTCTACCCTTTCTTTATGAATCCATAGTTCCCGCTCGGAATTCAAGCTGCAGCATGCACTCGAGTTGGGAACGCTCTTGGTGCTGGAGACAGCGTCGGGGCGATCCTAACCAGCAAGGTGTTGCTCAGTCTTGCAGGTTAGGTAAAAAAATGGATTATTTTGATTTTCTTCAGAGTCTCTGCTGTTTGACAGAATTATTATCCCCCTTTCCCCAGTTACCTTTGTGCTTGCTGAAGGTCTTGTGCTCGGTTCCACTAAAACAGTGATTGGCTTCATCTTCACCTCTGACGAGTGAGTGAGCTGTCATCATCCCATTTCAGTACTTTAATAAAATGAAAAACTTTAATGATTGTTGTTTTCAGAAGAATCATAGGTCTGGTGTCACATTTGATAAATGCTTATTGTTTCCTTCAGTTCTTTGATGGGCTTGTGGTGAGTCTTATACCTTGCAGTTTTTATATTAAAAATGACGTATGTTGAATATATAATGAAAATATTAGTGTTTGCAGAGATTACCAAATGAGTGAAAGGACAAGTAGAAGAATGAAAAATGTCTTTTTCCTCCAGTGTGTGTGCACAGGCATCTTCTTGGGCGCAGGCAAGCAGAAGATCCCAGCTATTGCTAATTTCATCGGATATTACTGCATAGGACTTTCACTTAGCTTCACTTTAATGTTTGTTGCAAAACTGAGAGTTTTAAGTATTTAAGAAATGATGATTGTATTTTGGATTTTCATAAAGTAGCATTTTCCTCTGAAGCCCACATTTCACCTAACCAAGTTATCTTTTTATTGATGAAGGTTTTTGGGTGGGCCTCCTGGTTTGTGTCATTTTGCAATCCACCTTCTACATCATTGTGATTTTCAGGCTCAACTGGGAAAACATCACAGAGGAGGTGACATATAGTTAGTCAGGGTTATGAAAGGATCTGTATTTTGAACTAAGATGGTAGAAATTTTTTTTTGTTGACTGCTTTCATGCAGGCCATGAAATGAGCCCACATGTCAGACTCCGGGGGGACAGCTGATCAGGCAGCCTGCATTGAAAAAGTAGGTACACCACTAAACTCGATTTATGTTCAAGGTTTTATTTGGACATATTTGCTCATAAGATTAGCCTGCAATCTAATAAAGAATAAACTAATTGGTACTGTGATGCTTTCACGCAGCCAGTGGCCGGCTACATGTCTGTCAGCACAGACTGCCATGATGGAAACACTGAGAGGGAGGGAGGACATGTGGTCCAGCTGCCAAGAGGCAATCGACTCTTCACTTCTCAGCTGATCATCCGGCGAGGCCTCATTATGTTTGCAGCTGTTGCTCTGCTTGCCATAGGAGCAAAGCAACCATACTATGAACTGGATGAATGCAAGCTCTACTCCTGATACAATTTTTGTCACTGAGTTGGTCCCAAATGAAGAGTCAGCGTGAACCATAAGGTTTCTGTTTATTGTTAGCTCTTTGGCAGTATGTGGTGGCACAACTACCAACAGGAAGATTTAAATAACATTTTGGAGATCTAAAGCGCAGGGATTGTCAATGATTATGAACCGTTTCTCCTTCTGCCATCTCCTCCTAACTCAACGTGTGCCATCCTGTCCTGCTAGGTCACGCAGTGCCAACATTCATATGTTTTCACTGGTGGCAAAGAATCATCCACTTGACTTCAGTGGACTGTGCCGTCATGTGATCAACAGGTTTATAACGATTCTGATCATTAAAATTGCTGGCCAAACATCTTCACCAGCGGTGAGGAGCTCAGCAGATGAGTCAGCGGCAATGATCTCAGAAGACGGGTCAGCGGCGAGGACCTCAGCTGGCGAACCAGAGGCTAGGACCTCAGCAGGAGGACCAGCAGCGAGGACCTCATCAGATGCACCAGTGGTGAGGACCTCAGCAGGCGGACCAGGATGAGGAGTGGAACCAAAACGAGATGGACGTGGAGATCTCAAATGGCATGGAGACCTCAAATGGTGTGGAGATCTTGAACGGCGTGGGAACCTCTAGCACATGGGATTCTCTTGAGATGAAGCAGGTGTGGTGGCAGAGGCAAGATCCTCTGCAGCTAGATCTTCGACAGCAGAATCTTGAGCAGATGTGGAACTCGGGACCAGAGGTAGTGTAAAAGAGTCCATCTGGCCCCCGAAAGCTTGCCAGGCAGAAGAGGAGTCCATCTGAACCCTCACAGCAGAGCAGGCAGGAGCGGAGTCAGTCTGGACCCCAACAGCAGTGCAGGCAGGCACAGAGTCAGTCTGGACCACTACCAATACACCTGAAGGTGGTGAGAACTCTAGACCAACCCCCACGGAGGCACACAGAGTTGGGGCATCAGGGCCAGTTACCACACACATAGGAGGAGATGGAGGGGCTTCTGATCCAACTCCCACGTTGACACTCAGAGGTGGGACTGGGACTGAGTCAGGCTCTGGGACTGGGGCTGAGTCAGGCGCTGGTTCTGGGACCGTGACTGATGCTGGTTCAGGAACTGTGACTGGTGCTGGTTCAGGAACCGTGACTGGTGCTAGTTCAGGAACCGTGACTGGTGCTGGTTCAGGAACCGTGACTGGTGCTGGTTCAGGAACCGTGACTGGTTCTAAATGGGCTGCAGGCTCTGGACTTTGTGCTACAGGCTCTGGACTCTGGACTGCAGACTCTGGACTCTGGGCTGCAGGCTCTGGAGCGAGAGCTCCTCCTTGGGCTCAGTGGCAGAGGCTGGATCTGGGACTGAGGCTAGTTCAGAGATTTAAATGGGAACTTCAGAGGCTGGTGATGGAACTGAGTCTGTGGTGGGTGTTTTCAGAGACCTTATTTTAATCAAAAGCTGATGATACTCAGGGATTTGGGTGAGACCGGGTTGAGATAGTAAATATTTTTCTGCAAGGGAGAGCATAGTATATTGACAGTCCGGGTTGTGTTTACCAGAAGAGAATAAATTCGGTTTAATTGGATGAGGTCAGTCGGTTGGAACTGGAGTGTGTTGGAAAGTCATAGGAGAAGCTCTATGCTGGGGTGAGGTGTTGAGTTCTGCCCCCACCGAAATCCTAGGAGGTAAGGCAACAGGACCCGCCTCCACAGAGACATTGGGACTGGGCTCAGGAGGCTCAGTCTCGCCGGACTGAGCAGGAATGCTTCGGAACCCTAGGAGGTGAGGCAATGGATTCCGTCCCCCCGGAAGCACCGGGACTGCCTCTAGGAAGCTCGACTCCACCAAGCCGAGTCGGATCTGTTGATGGTACCGGGCTGGACACCGTGGACCGCTTCCGGGTCTGTTTTTTGCCACTACAGATTATGGGCTCCCCCATCTGTGGCTCATACAGACAGGTGAGTAAAAAATTCTGAGGAGAACCTTGCCCGCTGGATGGTCGTGTCGTTCTGTCAGGATTTATCAGGCAGGAACAAACCCAATAGTTGCAGGCAGGAACTCGACTCAGAAGGTACAAAAATAAATACTTTAAAGACAATAAATTAAATAGCGGATGTGGCAGCACACTTACAAAACTGGAAACATAGTTCAGTTCAGGACTGGTACACATCAGGACAGGACAAGACAGGGTAGACCCAACAACAACGTCACAAGGAACAAGACTGACAGACAGACTTATATACACAGACAAGACAGGATATGATTACAAACAGCTGGCATGAGACAAGGGTGAAATTAATTGGGTAA